TGTATTTCGCTTAGTAACCTGCCATGAAAATTATAGAAGGCAGAAAACAAAACGTTAAACATTGTGATTTCAACTACAGCCATAGCTTAACTGGGTTCTATGCCGATTTGCGCTCCCCAGATCAACCCCGCTGACGGGTGATTGCTGTGGCAAAAAGATCGATAGAAATAGCTGAGAGACGTGCGAAACAAAGGACCCGCATGGTGTGGTGGTGAACGCGTTACTCCCCGGAAAGGATAATAGCGCGTTCGTTCCCCACCATAGACACCTGCGGTCCAGAGTTTTGCAAATATCTCAGCAACGTTGTGGTTGTATTTCGCTTAGTAACCTGCCATGAAAATTATAGAAGGCAGAAAACAAAACGTTAAACATTGTGATTTCAACTACAGCCATAGCTTAACTGGGTTCTATGCCGATTTGCGCTCCCCAGATCAACCCCGCTGACGGGTGATTGCTGTGGCAAAAAGATCGATAGAAATAGCTGAGAGACGTGCGAAACAAAGGACCCGCATGGTGTGGTGGTGAACGCGTTACTCCCCGGAAAGGATAATAGCGCGTTCGTTCCCCACCATAGACACCTGCGGTCCAGAGTTTTGCAAATATCTCAGCAACGTTGTGGTTGTATTTTTATTTACCGCTTATTGTAATTTTTCACGGGCAGGGTATTTTGTGTAGTACAACCACAATGACCAAACCCCGTTAACGAGTGAGTGATAATGGCACTGATCGATAGAAAACTAGGTGAGAGACATGCGAAACGAAGGACCTGTGTGGTGTGGTGGTGAACGCATTAACTGCCGGAAGGGGAATAGCGCGTTCGTTCCTCACCGCAGACATCCGGAGTTTTGCAATATCTCAGCGTCATTGTGGTTGTACTTTGCATAAAATCCTACCGTGAAAAATTGCAATAGGCAGTAAATAAAAAGTTGAAATTATGATATGATATAGAAAAGGATGAGAAAGGGTTGATCTGATCGAGGTGATATGGAGGAGGTCACTATTTAGAATTGTTTGCGAATTTTGTAGTTAACTTGAGCTCTTAAATAATTCCATCTCATGACGTCATCGTCCAAATTTTCTCGAAGTAAGCATGTTAACTTTTAAAGTGTCCTTTTTCATTTTCATCGTCCATTTTTTCATCGTCCTTTTTCATTTTTTTCACGTTTTTGCTATGTTTTTATTCTTTTTTTCTTTTCATTTCCTGTACTTATCACTACTCTTAGGAGTGATGTTGGCCTTTGTCTAGCTCCAACGATGCTATATAACGAAAATGTTAGCTTTTTGATTTTCGTGACTTTATGGAAGGAAAGGAATCAAAGTGCTTTTAACTGAAAGACAGGCTAAACGAAGGACCCACATGGTGTGGCGATCAACGCGTTAGCCTTGGGAAAGGGTAATAACACGTTCGTTCCCCACCGCAGACACCTGCGGTCCGGAGTTTTGCCAATACCTTAGCATCACTGTGGTTGTATCACACAAAATGCTTTTGTTTTGCATTGGTGCTTTGTAAATGAGTGAAAGGTTTTCTTGTGAAGTTTTTTGCGTTCTATTAAATCAGAAGGAAATATTATGTAAAATGTTGAGAGTTTAGAAAAAAAGGTAACTGCACATTACTGTAGTTGGGGAAGTGGGAAGGTCCCATGCACATTATTCAATTTTATAGATTCGCGGTCAGATCGACCGACATGGACCGTGACACGGAGAGAAAGGACGGAACTGTCTCCATTACGGTTGGTCACCTGTAGATTCTTCTTAACAGCACTTTTTATTGTCGATATCTCAATGTACAGCAAAAATGGAATACTGTAATATGTAATGGTGGAAATTTATCACCTGGTCTACATGTAATGTCGGAAAATTTGGGCGGGAAGCAGTAAAATCTCTATTCGTTTCCGTTATACACCAAAGTTGTTCAGTATGCTTATGTTCCGTACTATTATGAGACACGAAAGTGTCACACTCTTCATATGATACGGTTTTATTCCTGTTTTTTGGTGATGAAAATGATGCCACCACAAGTAGCTCATTGTGTTCTGCTGTGGCGTAGGTTTCCTCTGGATAGAAATCTGAAGCTTCTGGGTTTCCTTAGTAAGAGATGAACCTTTCGTTAAAATATTGCAGTTCGTCTATGAGAAACTCCCTCCAGCTACGACAAGGCTACTGGAAGTTAATCAGCTATTGTATATCAGTGTAAATTCAACAAAGGAAGGTTTTAAAAACGCTTAACATTTGCATGCTCGACTCCATTGCACGTAATGACGTGACTTACTTGATATTTAATACTCGAACGGCCCGTCCTCACTAGTTGTGCGGGCTCCAGCATAATCTGATTTTTTCGGGGATTTGCTAGTTAAGCCACTGTGGTTCTCCAGAATCCCGAGGCCAGCCTGACCAAAGCCTGCCCCAGGTCCTCACCATCACAGACAGTGGCAGCCTTTATAGATCGGAGGGAAATTTGCCACCATGTGACTTTGATACCAGGACGGTGGTGGTTTCTGATATTGGTTTATTCTTAGTTAAACTTCCTGATGGAAACGCCGGACTCTTTCTCGGCTTAGGAGACCCTGCCAGGGGATGAATTCCCGGTGTACATCGCAGCCCAAAATCCAGGAACAGCTCCTAGCCACGATGAGGCGATATACCGTTGGGAGGAATGCTGTGACTGCGATGAGAATTTCCAGATCTTTCTGACAACCTGGTGCATTTGCGATTAATTTACTTTTAATTTGATCGAGTAGCCATGTTTGAGCTCGTTCTTTCCTTCTTTTCGTTGAATGATAAGAAGAAGTCGGTGAAGAAATCTGTCATAAGCATCTCGTGAATTGGATTTTATGATAGGAAAGCGAGCTGAAAAATGACGGATTCTCCACCACTTGCGATGTGTGACCCCCCATTCCAGAACAACCAATAGCTGACGGATGAGAAGAGAGAGGAATCGCCTTGCTTAACCCGTACTGGTACATGATGCTATCTAGACTTTCCGCTTCTCACCTAAGATCCTATAGTGTAATTGATTGAAAGTCGATCGATTTCCCATCCACGACTAATTTCCATCCATTTAATGCCAGTCTACTGAACGCGGGAAAAAAAAGCAAGGTGATCGTCATAGTTAAAAATAAGCTTTGTGAACAACCACGTCTATAAATCTCAGGCGACCACGGAAAGATACACTTGCAAGCTTGACAGATATGTGTGTAGTGTAAAAAATAGAAAGAAAATGTGGAATGTCTAGAATGTGTGCATTGATTAGAATTAAAGGAACGAAATTTTGTGACATGGTAAGAAAAAATCTACTATGAAGAGATTGCGAAGCAGGAAAACTTCTTATTTAACCTTAATAGTAAGTTAAATTATGTCAGATGATTACAAATCCTGGTATAAATTTAAAATAGTGGTGCTTTACCCAAGCTTGGTAATAGGATATACTTCTATGGATTCATCCAGCTGTTAACTTTGGATGATAAAAGCGTATGTGTTGGACAGAAGGATCTTAATTGAGTGGAGTACACTGCCATTCATATAAGTCTTTAGAAAGCACCATTCCAATGGAAACAGTTTTGTTCTTGTGCGCTCATGTCATGTCCAACAAGAGCTAGTTGAGAATGCTAAGTTTTCTACAAGTTTATGTGCTCCCGAAAAGCAAACGCGAAGCTACTTGGATTCTTGGATGGCCCATCTTCACTGTTTGTGCGGCCCTTAGCACAGTTTCCATTCCAGATATTCGTTTGTTTAGCCATTATGATTCCCTGGAGTCCCGAGGTCAGACTAGCCGAAGCGTTCCTCAGGTCGAGTCGCCGCCCTTGTGGATCAGAGGGAGATTTGCCAACATGCGACTAGTTTGATATCAGCATTGATAATGGTGGTGATTCCTGGTATTCGTTTACTTTCAGATGGGCTTCCCGATGGAAACGTCGGACTCCTTCTCAGCTAGAGAGGTCCTGCTGGGCGGATGATCCTCCCACTGTACATCGCAGTACAACACCCAGGAACACCTCCCAGCCACGATGAGGCGGTAAACCGTTGGGAGAAAACACGAACTTATTAATATTAATGCAGTATATATTCTACAGTACTGGTTTTTCCACCATTTATTCTGCGATAGCTAGCACTTCGCCGGATTTGGACATGTTCGGTTCCTGTAAGGGATCATATTGGCACCTCATCTACTAAGGAAAATACTCTCATAACCTTAATGGAAAAACTTGACCGCTTCTAGCGAAGCATCTTTAAACATTTGTATGTATATGTCTTAACATCATACATTTTTTTTTATCATGTCACATTCACATTTATAGTATCTTCCGCTGAGTAAGGTAGAGCTGCCACAGAGAGTTCACATCGGTTACAAATGTTCCTTTTCATAAAGAGGTTGTTTATAATATGATTGAAATCCAGATTTTCAGTGGTTTTTGTTGGGTTACTAAAATCTTTGGCTGAGTAGATTGAGTGTCAATATGATTCCTTCGAAGCTTCGAAGAAAGAAAACTCTCCCGAAATATAAGTCATTCTAGGGTTGATATTGTACCAACAGCATCGTGTTAGTTTACTAAGAGCACAAATTTGTTGATCGATGTTGAAGTAATCGAGAAGTCGGTTATGAGAATGCTTCTTTATCGTTTTACTTATTTGTGATTCATTCAGTTAATGAGTGTTGCGTTATTGAGGTCAACTTCTCCATTTCAATCTCGAACGGTGACGACCACAGAGCGGGTACAAATTCTAGAGATGCCGATCAGTTTGACCGATGAGCAGATGGCACCAGCTCGACTTCTCACACTTACGCCCAGTGGCAACACAACTCAATCCATATCCTCTACCGTAACCACCATGCCGGTCGGTTTAGTGGCTTTTGTGAAGAGTACTATGTTTTCAACCAAAAACTAGATTTTTGACTTTTTCTAATCTATTGATTATGGTAATTAAAATAAAATTCATGGAGAACACCAATAACAGGCTCTACAAAAGCTGCTTTCTACCAGCAGATCTACTACAACCATATTTCCACGTGTTGAAATTCATCTGATCCGTTATAGTTTTCTATGCTTACTTGATATTGGTACTCTTGAACGGCCTGTCCTCACTGGTTGTGCGAGCCCCAGTATAATCACCATTTTTCGGTGATTTGCTGGTTAAGCCATTGTGGTTCCCTGGAATCCCGAGAACAATCGGGCCAAAGTCTGCTCAAGGTCCTTACCTGCACAGGCAGTCGCAGCCTTTGTGGATCAGAGGGAGATTTACCACCACGTGACTTTGATACCAGGACGGTAGTGGGTCCTGGTATTGGTTTGCTCTTAGCTAGGGTTCCCGATGGAAACGCCGGACTCTTTCTCAGCTTGGGAGACGCTCCCAGGGGGATGAATTTTCCGGCTATACATTGCAACCCGACACCCAGGAACACTATTTTCCACACTCAGAAGCTCCTTTCACAGTTAACTTGTGGTAGGAATTTTCTTCGTCCCAAAGCAAACCCAATTGCAAGGCAATAAGTTTTGCTCTCATCTATAAATGTTAACAGGTTATCTATGCTAGTTGTTTTTTCATGGCGGCTTATTATGTGAAATGTAGCCACAATGTTGTTGAGATATTTGCAAAACTTGAAGATCGATTGAAGAGCTTGAAGAGCCAAACCAGATCGAACCGCGATTATCCTTTCCGATTGCTAACGTGTTGCACATGGCACCGCAGGCCTCAGCCAGTCTTTTTGCCTTAACGGTGACGATTTGTGCTCTCCAGATCACTCTCATTGACGGATGATTGACTAATAGTACCGTTAGGTTAGAAGGATTAGCTGAGGAAGAGGCAGAGCGAGAGCCTCAGTGGTGCTGTTCGTAACACGTGATCCTCCGGAAGCCGTAATCGCGATTCGATCTCGTCTTGGTTCCAAGGTTTGCAAATGCTTCAGTATCTCAAAAAATCGACTTTCTACAAACCCCGGCCGAAGTAGTTAATATATTTATTTGTATGACCTTATGAGCTGATCTTGTTGAGCTGATAGGAGGTTGGTATAAATTTTCGTTGTCGTCGTTGTTGTTGGTGTTGTTGGTCGATGGTTGACGTTTCGGCGATTTCGCCTTCCTCAGAGCCGTGCTGTTACGAGCGAAAGGCGAAATCGACGAAACGTCAGCCATCGACCAGCAGTTCCAACAGCAACATCGACAACGACAACAACAACAACGATGACAACGAAAACTTAAACCAGCCTCGAATCAGCTCATAAGACATTTACATAAATTCGTCCTTTATTTTCCGGTTTTGTATAAATCCCATTACTCTGAATCTATTAGGTAGTTGAATTTCTATTTTAACTTTGCTCATAGTCTAAGAATTATGCAGGGAGGAACAATTTTCTTCCTAATGGATAAATCATAGTGTAACAAGTGGCATGCAAATTCTTCAGGATACGTTTAGAATTTCCAAGCTAAATAGGTCTGATTGCGATGGGTAAACGACTTGGCAAAACTTTTTCTGTTCACCGGAACTGGATTGGTTTTCATCTAAATGAAAGGAGAAGAACGAAACTAATCAAAACTATCCACATCGTTCTGCAATAGAATTGCCTTTTAGAAGAAGTATTTCTTTCTCCCATATAGGGTGTTTCCCTATTAAACAGGGTTTTTTTTTGTTAAACCTTCACTTTTACACCTTTTCGGACTGTTAAGCTAACACAAGGTTGTTAAAAGGATTTATCCGGCTAACATCTTAACGTCTTCGTCTTCATCAGAGCTGATAATCCCAGTCGACTCTACACAGTTCACAGTTGTTCCTAGGAGTTGTTTTACTCCCTTTTTGCCAATCATTGCAATTTGTTTTACCTCTGTAAATGTATGTAAATGTATGGGTGGATCACCTTCGCAAATGTCATTATCCCCTCGTCGTCTATGGCAGCGGATTCTTCCGTGTATGTTGCCTTCATCACTTTCCTGATGAGCAAATGGCTTCCAGCTACGAATATGGCTGATTCACATGAGCAACAATCACTTTCAGTCTTTTTGTGGTTGATCGGTCTATATGACTCTTGTATCCTTTTGGACTACAATCCACAGTTCTCTCGTCAATCCGTCGCCAACCTTTTTTACCACCTGACAAAGCCGTCTAGTTCCCATTTCGTTCTCCAATCCCCTTACACTTGAAGAAGGCTAAATTTTTCCAAGCATTGAAGTGTGAAGCGCAGTTTGCTGTATCAGGTATACGTCAAAATACATAATCCTTCGAGTGTTTTAAGTAGGTTGTAAAGTGGCATGATGTAACTGAAGTGTCAGCTCAGATATCAACTGCAGAATAGCATACGGACCGCTGTTGAGTCGAGTAAACGTGTCTCCTTCTAGAAATTCCCAACGCGCTCCTCCGTCCGCTTATCTACAAGGCTGATAGAATAACATTTTTTAATACATCATCGAACGTTCTTTCACAGTTGCCAAAGACTAAGACAAAAGCAGCTAGTAAACTCGACAAACCTTAATGAACCTAGCTACGATTTCAAAGTCACTCGAAGTCTATGGAGTAAGATACTCTTCTTTCTCAAACGTTCTTTATGTGCAGGATAGGATAATCTTAATGTAAAAGCTACATAACAATCCCGATGAACAGACCAGACGGTGCTTGAAAGGATTGGGTCTGCTATCATTTTTAGGCAGCTATGAATGTTATTCTCGAATGTTTTGGGACCATTTTCTTCTAAAGGGATGTTGTTGTATAGGTTACAGGATTTGCTTGGTGTCTGTAACACTTTTTAGCGCAAAACGCCGTAACGGTTCCAAAAGTTTAGAAGTTTTGGAAGTTAGAAATGAAAGTGATTTCATTCTTCTTCATCAAAAATGATGGAGAAACGATGTAACCGCATTGGTCACATGGACATTTTTTGAAACTAGCTCTTTTGTGCGCTGTCCTCAGCAGTTTTTTCCGCCATCAACATTGAAACTCAAATGTAGACTTCTTTACTACTATTCATGTTAGGAGTTCTGTTTGATTAAGCTTCCCGAACCATTTTGTAAAAAAGGGAATACTATCTGAACTTCTCGTTTGAGAAGTGGTAGCGATCATCATATCTTTTAAGCCGTTGGACAACGAGGTAGGAACTCTTGGTTGGGTTGTTCCGATTTATCGCTGACCTTAGAGGAGTCAATGTTCGTAAAACATTTTTGTAATACACCTTGTAATCTCTCTTGAGGACGATAGTGGTACTTCTCTAATAGTGACTATATCAAATCGTCACGTGAGGCAAAATCGTCTTAACGACCTACATGCTCCGCTATATTACACTGACTTCGTTTCTACCAGTCACTACACAATGACTAGTAGAAGCTTTTGATTTTCACTTGATGCGGAGGTTAAAGATGGAGGGTAGTCAGGAAGGTTGATAGGAAGCCACATAGCATAGTAGTTAGTGAAGGTACCGCTGGCCCTAAATGACCAGTTTCGTAATAAAAAATCTTCTTTGAACCGATAGTGAGAGTTCTAATAATAAGTCGAAACCATACAGTATGTAGGAGAACTGTAAAATAAATAGAACTAAAAAATATTTTGTTGATAGTGATGTAAATAACATGGAAAGAAATTGGAATAGGAAAAAATAAAATTTTAAATGATTATAAGGAAAACCTAACGATTTATTCAAACCAAGACGAACCGCATCTTTTTAGGGTGAAAGTACTCCCTTGGTTGGCAGTGTCACAGCCATGGGTGTACCGCTTTTGCAAGGTATGCTTATATGCCCAGAAGCAAGGCATACAACCACGATAATCACAACTACAACTACAACTTATCGGATGGTAGAGGTCAGCGACAGCGATTCGCTTTCAGATGATTTTGAAGTACTAGATGAAAACGCACTCACAGTAGACGTATCACTTTTAACGCCTGGAACCTCTTCTCCACAGTCTCCTCAATACATGATTATAGAAAAAAGGGAGTCTGAGGGGCCTTTATCATTAATCACACGCTCAAGGATGGATATCGATCTTAAATTCCCACCCATAGGCATTGAAAGATCTACAGAATTAGACGAAAAACCAATAATGGAAATGGTCTCGGTGTACCATTCAGGATTCTCAGATTTACCCTATAAGCAGAGTGAAGAAAATAAATTTGAGGGATCGTTATCAGAAAAGTTCGCCCATGGACGATCAGATGAACCTGCACCAAGATCCGACGAGGAACACATCGATCTTGCTGATGTCGCTAAGACATTCGGTGACAAAATCACAGGCCTGTTCAGGAGACGACCAACAATCCCAGACTACCCATCATCAGAGCCCTACGCTGGTCCTTTAGTAGATACGCGAAGGCGGGAAGATATCGACTCACAACCGCTTCACACCGCAGTCACGGTGTATCATAGCGGCCGGTCTGACATTCCTCACGAAAAAGTTGTATTTGCACCAGAAGCAGTAGAGGTACATCAAGAAATGCACTATGACTACCCAACAACAACAGCATACGAAGGACCACTTGAGAGTACAAACCGAATCGATGACATCCAAGGAGAACCACTCACACACCACGTCACCGTGTACCACAGCGGGCGATCAGATGAACCTGCACCGAAATCCGACGAGGCACACATCGATCTTTCTAATGCCGCTAAGACATTCGGTGATAAAATTACCGGGTTATTCAAGAAAGGTGCAGCTCATCTTGACTACCCTGTGTCAGCGTTGTACGAAGGACCTCTCGACAGTACACAACGAATCGATGACATCCAAGGAGAACCACTCACACACCACGTCACCGTGTATCACAGTGGACGATCAGATGAACCTGCACCGAAACCCGACGAGGCACACATCGATCTTGCTGATGCAGCGAAAGCATTCGGTGACAAAATCACAGGCCTGTTCAGGAGACGACCAACAATCCCAGACTACCCATCATCAGAGCCCTACGCTGGTCCTTTAGTAGATACGCGAAGGCGGGAAGATATCGACTCACAACCGCTTCACACCGCAGTCACGGTGTATCATAGCGGCCGGTCTGACATTCCTCACGAAAAAGTTGTATTTGCACCAGAAGCAGTAGAGGTACATCAAGAAATGCACTATGACTACCCAA